GCAATTTTCTAGAGTTAATCTTGAATTAATCTTCAATTTCACTCTAGTGCAGCAACGCATCTCTTCTTAGCCTAGTTGGCGGAGGTTACATCCGATTGTAACTTCCGTCAATCACCGTACGGAATACCGGTCAACACTGCATGCAAGCTGCGCAGAAGTGAAGCTTCGGGGAAATTGCTATCGGGGAAACCCAAATAAAACTATCAGATCTGCAGATCTCCTTACCTTAACTTTCACACTATGGCTTAGCAGACAATCCGTCTTGCTCTTCCTGTACGCAGTTACCTATCTAAAGACTATCTAAGATTGTTTTATCCTCCGATTTGGAAACCTAAAAGGATGCTAGCATCGAATAATTTTCCCGAAGTACTCCTTCCCGTAACCTCTGTTAGCATTATGGACGTCAATTAAAACCCTCTGTCTTTCCGGAAGGCTGACTATTGCCCGTCTCCTGATGTGCTATCAACCAACTTTTCGAGTTATTGTAGCCCGTCTGCAACGTAAGCACTCGACCGCTAACCTGTATTACACGTCCTAGCCGAGTTTGCGATTATAGATTACTCACAAATGAGCGCCCAATTCGCGTCCTTTATATGTTATAGTCGCAGCAAATGCATGACGAAGTTTAATACTGAATAGACTGAGCTGTCATTTTTGTCTGCTGCTTTGCTCCCTGCCACATCTGCACTTCCTGCCCTAATATATCGCTTATTTATTGCACAGCTGTCCAGATAATTGCAGATTAATGAACACTCACTAGCAGCCTACGTACACAGTCCATGCACGTCAGTTCCCATTAAAAACGACTGGACAAATATCTTTTTTGAAGTCAAATCAGTTCTTTAAACGGATAAAGGTCTCTATCCCATAAATGTTCAAGACTCGTTCTCCACGTTGTCGTTAGGCACCTATTACGTGCGCAAAACAGCCAAATTAAGGTGCGCCCTCGAATCAACACTTGCGTAGCCTTTTACCATGTATCATTGAGGGGTCGCCGTATAGTGCCGTATATCCCGCCTCTGGATTTTTTTGTGTAGTATCCAACTCGATATACCGATCGCTGTATGAGTCATCTGCGTAAATAGCTCCTAAAATTATCGTACTAAGATGGGTACACACCAGCGGCGTGAACACCGGCACAAGGAATGATGTTTCCAGTATCCACAGTATGCGTGACTTCTTGGGACAACTGCTTTAACCCCTTCGTTAGCAGTTTATTTTCATGTACACATATGGAGGCAAATTTCCTAATCTGACCACAGGATGCCGCATCACATGGAGTTTCGTAGACTTTATTTACCAAATGAATTCCCTTTGCCAAAGGGCGTGACATATTAGAAATACTATCAAGCGCAACCTTTACGCATTCGCACTGCCGCAGCATCATTATAAGCACGATAAATAGAGGTGATTATAAGAGAATCCCTCATACGCACGGCAGTTCACCCATGTCCACTCTGTTGCCACAGCAGGGTGGGCGTAAGGACGATGACTTACGTGTAAATTACTTTATAGTCATAGTAGACTTGCGCAGTATTTACCACATTTTCTGTTGTCTAACCCTTACGAACCCGGTGTCATGGCAGAGTGGAGGACCTGGAGGCGGGATTAGATGCAGATGTCGGTCGCAACGTTAAGCTGCGCCTGGGCGTACCAACACACACCCCTCTTCATGTGTGGCCTTTGGTGTGAGTGCGTACCTGCCACACCCTGATATGGCCCTCGTGTTGGCCCAGCGCATCTATTGCGTGCCCCGTTGTAGGAGCACGTGCCTGATATAGGCACCAGCTAAAAGTCCAGACGCGTTTCTTCGGTTTATGCTACTGCGCTATGGGGGCTCGGCTCCTTTCTGATGGAGTGACGTTCACTGATCACTTTGTGCGATGTTTTCTCCTCATTGGGCCACAACGCTCAACATAGTGCCCTCGCAGGCGCTCTCACAGAAATGAGCACGATAAGCAGGATTGTGCCGATACATTTACGGGAGATTAGGATGGCTATTTCTGCTTTGTTACCTCTTCGTCCATTTACCGTAGTATTCGCGCCTGAATCCTCTTTTTTAAAGCATGTCTTTCTCCTATACGTTTCTGAACGCCAAAATATATTTAATGTCATTCCAGCCCCAGCTTTCAATTTCGACGCCTTTTTTCGGTCTAAACCAGTAATTGAAACTGTTA